TTTAATGGTTTCAGAAGCCTTGCTGCCAGATGTAGTTTATCGTCATACCCAGGACTTGCCTACTTTTGTCTTGCCTATATTGTTTGCTTAGCATTATTTTTGCTATGTGTGTTTTACGTTTTTCTTTTTAAGTTATGTTGGAATATTGTAGGATATTCATATGGATGAATGTCATGAAAGTTTGTTTGTTGGGAATTTCTGTCAATTAGACGTAAACATGGCCAGTTATGTTACAGTTATTTTATTTCATATTAATTTAAAACTTATCTGCTCAGTAATATTTTTAAAGGCAGTGTAAGCATCACTCTACAATTATTTGAATGATTTTAACATTTTATTCAATAACCTTGTTCTAGAAGACATTCAAATTACACAGCTGTTGTTTTAAAAGTAGCATTTCCCTGTATTATTTGAGGTGTTCAAACACTGGTCAGAAGATTAACACTCATAAGTTGTGTATCAAATTAAATATAGAGTATAAAGAATTCCTTGCATGCAATGCCTGCACCTCTATTAGTAATAAGGGATTAAGCCAATAGCTAGTAGAGAATTTATCTTTGAAAGAGAAGACGTATTCGTTAAGCTTTTGGGCCGCCAATAAACCATATACAGTGTAACCCGGATATAAGAGACCCGGATATAAGAGAAACCCGGATATAAGAGAGATTTTCTCTGGTCCCAAAGTGTTCCCATACTTACCTAAACAAAATAGACCAAACCCGGATATAAGAGAAACCCGGATATAAGAGACTTCTTCTCCGGTCCCGACAACTCTCTTACATCCGGGTTACACTGTATCTGCAGAAAAGTTAAATATTTCTTTTAAATTTTATCATGCAATAATTTTTTATTGTATCAGTACATGAACTTTTCTCTTTTCTTTCTCGATGTAATGAACAGGCTCAGTAAGGAAGTAAATCAAAGCAACACTGTACAGTGAAACCCGGATATAAGAGAGTTGTCGGGACCGGAGAAGAAGTCTCTTATATCCGGGTTTCTCTTATATCCGGGTTTGGTCTATTTTATATACATTAACACAGGCTATAATTTGGGACCAGAGAAAATCTCTCTTATATCCGGGTTTCTCTTATATCCGGGTTTGGTCTATTTTATATACATTAACACAGGCTCTAATTTGGGACCAGAGAAAATCTCTCTTATATCCGGCTTACACTGTACAAGTTTGTGTGGATAATTACTAGAGGCGGTGATATGTGTTTTACGCTTTTCTTTTTAAGTTATTTTGGAATGCAGTTTGATTTAAGAAGTTGTTGGATATTATATGGATTAATGTCATGAAAGTTCATGTTGATAGTTTGGTTGGTTTTGTTTAGCAACATATCAACGACTAGGGTGTTATTTAATACCAAAATCTTAATAACCTGAACTCAGTTTGATGACTTCAACTAAATACATTTTGAACACAACTGTATGTTTTAATTTCAGATAAAATGTGCTGGTCATGTGTTGTATGTTTTTTTTATATAAAAATGTATTGCTGGTGTTTTTACTATTAAAATATATTGTTATATTCCGTGCTAAGGGAATAAATACTTAACACCAGGTGGATAATAGAAGAAACGTTTATTGTACGCAACCAGTATAATATGAAATACGGTAGAGTTATACAATAGGTCAATCTAGTAGTGAGTGCCACTAATCGGATGTGCTTACATCGTCTTTCTTTCTTTCTTTCTTTCTTTCTTTCTTTCTTTCTTTCTTTCTTTCTTTCTTTCTTTCTTTCTTTCTTTCTTTCTTTCTTTCTTTCTTTCTTTCTTTCTTTCTTTCTTTCTTTCTTTCTTTCTTTCTTTCTTTCTTTCTTTCTTTTTTCTTTCTTTCTTTCTTTCTTTCTTTCTTTCTTTCTTTCTTTCTTTCTTTCTTTCTTTCTTTCTTTCTTTCTTTCTTTCTTTCTTTCTTTCTTTCTTTCTTTCTTTCTTTCTTTCTTTCTTTTTTCTTTCTTTCTTTCTTTCTTTCTTTCTTTCTTTCTTTCTTTCTTTCTTTCTTTCTTTCTTTCTTTCTTTCTTTCTTTTCTTTCTTTCTTTCTTTCTTTCTTTCTTTCTTTCTTTCTTTCTTTCTTTCTTTCTTTCTTTCTTTCTTTCTTTCTTTCTTTCTTTCTTTCTTTCTTTCTTTTCTTTCTTTCTTTCTTTCTTTCTTTCTTTCTTTCTTTCTTTCTTTCTTTCTTTCTTTCTTTCTTTCTTTCTTTCTTTCTTTCTTTCTTTCTTTCTTTCTTTCTTTCTTTCTTTCTTTCTTTCGTACACAGTTAAATTTATAGGTACTTACTACCTATAGCGCAATCATTCATAGGGGTGACTGGTTATTCCATTACATCATATATTTTTATAGTTTCATAGTTTTTGTTTAGGTGGCTCCCTATTTGCCCATAGCTGGTATCCTAGCAGATGCTACCACCCCGGGTCATGGTGGACCTAGGAACAACAGTAATTAAGAAGTGGTTCCACACTCCTCAAAACCTTCAATCTCCAGACCAGAAGCCTTGCTACCGGATGTAGTTTATCGTCATACTCAAGACGAGGTAAATCTCATTTAAATTAGCTTATAGTCAAATCTTTGCATGCTCAGTAGAAGATTATCTTTTATTGAAGAAGTAGTAAAAACATTTAGACAGTTTATTAAAGTAATTTATTCATTTGTTATTTTACGGTTGAACAACCCTTTGTAAGTTATTGAAAGCCGAACGTATTTTAGACTGTAATAATTGTTAAAACAAGATCTTGCTCAATAAACAGAGTGACAACACTTCACCAAAGAATAGAAAAATCTTCAAGTATTTCATGAATAATTGCATTTCACCAGGCAACAGAAAAAAATTCTCTGACGTGAAATTTGAAAAAAAAAAAAAAAATTAAATACTGCCTAATGGTAAAATCCACTTTGGCAGAGAGGGAAATATGCTACTGTCACTGTTTAAAACACATCCATTAAGCTGAGTAAGAGTCTAATTTGTTAGCCAAGGATGGTAAGTTCAATCCTAGGCAGGAGTCAGTATAGTTAACATTCCTCTTTTTAGTTTTTCATGTCGACCATAGTGGCAACTTTCTTTTTATCACACATATTTTAATGTACAATTTTGTTTTTTTTATTTTGTAAGGAAGAGATATTCTAAGCTTGCATACATGATCTAGAATTTTGTTAGAAGAAACACCTCTCTTAGTCAATCTGTAACGTGACTTGATCCGGAAATCCATTCAAGTTTATGTATTAACTTTTGTTCAGTTTCAGTTCCTAACAATTTATCTAATATTTGAATGGATGAGTGAGCAGAAATCCATTAAGATTTATGTATTACCTTTTGTTCAAGCATTTCTTTGATAATTACAGTTTCAATTCCTAACCTTTTATCTAATATTTGAGTACATGAGTGAGCAGATTCATATAAGTTTGCATTGTCAGTTTTACATATTAATGGAAAATTTTCTGGCTTGTCTTCAATGCATAAAAGTTCTAGAAGATAATTTCTATAAAGGTGAAGCTTTCCATAGTATCAACCATAGCAAGTGTCTCTGCTGCCTGCGTACCTTTCATAACTCTCTTGACTCTATGAGTTTGCCTAGCAATAGGAACATAACTCTCATTGTCAGCCATAATAAAGACAATGTATCCTGCTTGAGATCCTCGATTGTTAAGTCCAGCAAATCCTGCATCACTATACGCTACCAGTTTCATTCTTGGAAGATTGCCTAAGTTAGGTATTAACAGTTTACAAGATATTTTCTTAGGTTTTCTATCTGATTTATTTACCGGCGATATACACTCAACCTTTCTATCTTTTAAAGATGATGTCACATCACTTATCGCATAACTTAAATCAGGTCGTGTCTGTGTTGCCGTCATAAAATGATTTTAATATTTGGTTGTTATGTGAGTCAATAATATTATGTTTGCTCTTAGAGCAGGAATAAAAACAAATTATATATATATATATATATATATATATATATATATATATACACACACACACACATATATATATATATATATATATATATATATATATATATTTCAATAAAGGTGCAATTAATTTAAAATAACTGATCCAAGTGCAACTTTCGGATAATAAGTGCGGCATTACTGTAATTATTGAACAATATAGTTCATGCCACTTTGACGGAAATCTACCAGTAAAAAAGAATTCTCTTATCACTATATTTGTACAAAAACGCACAACCTTAAAATTTAAATTCAAACTCAGCGTTGCGACTGCACGTTCCAAAACAATAACACATTTCTCATAGCATTTTTCGGATTACATCTCTATTTTCGTTGTCCTCTTATTACTGAGAGTAAAAACAAGAACAAAATCTATTCCATACCTGAGGATGTCTGTAGGAATAGACGAAAGCTTGTAAAAATAATAAGACCTTATGCAACTGAAATTTATAAAACAAGGATCTTTTCATTCATAAACAGGTTCGGGTTTTTTGTATATTATTTGAATTGTTTGCGAAGATGGATTTCTCGCCAATTAAATCATTAACCTTTGTATTTGTTTTTTGTATAAATAATTCATGAATATATATATATATATATATATATATATATATATATATATATATATATATGTATATGAAATGAACAGCCCGAGAAAGAAATACGTAAATAGATTAAGCATTCGAATTAATCGTCATATTTCTGATTTTAATTGATCTTCAGGTTTCAACTGAAGGATTTTTAAAAATATATGTAGACGTCTTCTTCAGCGTAGCACACAATGAATGCCTTATATATCGTGGGTTGTTGAGCGAAAAATGTCTTTCTGTTTTACAGTTTAACACTGATGGAAACAAACATGTCTTCAATCGAATAGAGATTTGAATGAGACTTGGCATTATTTCCCAGTAGTGAGAATCATGCGATGTCTTTTCAACTCACATGGATTACCTGAATCCTCTTGTTTCTCCGTGACAATAAAAACAACTGGGATGGATAAAAAAAAAAAAAGAATAGAACAGTTAGAAAACAATTCTGAGGAGATATTTTAAATGAAAAATGACGGAATTTGGTTAAAATTATTTTTTGTGATCATTTTTGCATGCGTGCGTCGTTGTAATTTGTTTTTCTTTCTTTGTTTTCTTCTTTCTATGATTCTTAGTATCCATCAATCTCTCTTAGCTGATTGCTTTCTTTCTTTCTTTCTAAGTATCCTTCTATCCGTTCAATTTTCTTTTTCTTGATTAAGATTTCTCTTTCTTTCTTTCTTTCTTTCTTTCTTTCTTTCTTTCTTTCTTTATTAAAATTTATCTTTCTTTCATTAAAATTTCGCTTTCTTTCTTTTTTCATTAAGATTTAACTTTTACTTTTTCTTTCTTTATTAAGATTTCTCTTTCTTTCTTCTTTCTTTCTTATCAGTCAGTATCATTCTGCCTATCTTCATCTCGACATTCTTTGATCCTTCTTTAGTTTCGTCTTTCTTTCTTTCTTTCTTTCTTTCTTTCTTTCTTTCTTTCTTTCTTTCTTAAGATTTCTGTTTCGATCTTTCACTGTACTTGCTTTGTATCTCTTCTTTCTCTCCGGCCTTCTCTTTCTTTTGTAATCTTTCCATCTCTCCGTGTCTCTCTCTGCTTGTCTTTCTCAAACTTTCTGTCTATCTCTGGTTGTTAGGTTAAATTCGGTTGGCTTAGTTTATCGCATATCAATCTTGTTTGCTTATTGAATTGCAGAATTTTGTATAGGACACCTGGTGAGGACCGAACCCATTACTAAGTAATAATTTATCAGCTGCACTTTAATACTCGATAACCATTATCCCATATCGAGTTGTCTTGTCTGTATATATCTTTCTGCAACCCCCCATATATATATATATATATATATATATATATATATATATATATATATATATATATATATATATATATATATATGTGTGTGTGTGTGTGTGTGTGCGCACAAATATATAGAAAAAATAGGAAAAGAACACGTTAGGTTAATAATTCTTGAGTATCATATATTAGAATCATATTTTTTAAAATAATTATAATATATATATATATATATATATATATATATATATATATATATATATATATATATGGGAGAGAGAGAAAGAGAGACCATTAAAGAGAGTGTGGGTATGGTATATTGACAGTTTCCTTCTCAAAGCCTTGGTCCTAAGTTTACAATCTATCTATCTATCTATCTATCTATCTATCTATCTATCTATCTATCTATCTATCTATCTATCTATCTATCATTGAATAACTTATTAGAGGGGCCATGGATTATTCAGTGTATATATATATATATATATATATATATATATATATATATATATGTGTGTGTGTGTGTGTGTGTGTGTGGTGTGTGTTTTTTGTGCGTGTGTGATTCAAACTAATGGAAATTGTTTATATGGTCAACCAAGGCCTGGCAGTGTTATAAATAAACACTTAAACTCAACAAGCAACTGAAATAAATTGATAATCACAATAGAAAATGAATTAAAGAAGAAAAGCAAAAGGAAGAATAATGGCTGAGATAGCAAAGAGATAAAATAGTGCAACGAAATGGATGGCATTATTATTACTGCAACAATAATTCAAATAGAGACCATTTCGTTCTTGGAATGGGAAAGTCGCATCGTTAAACGAGCGCCGGAAAGCGGCGTGTTTTATATTGCTATACGCCCCGATGAAGAACTCTGATCATTATTCTCATCATCCGTCCCAGGATCCGGCGTAATCTTCTTTTTTTCCATTTCACCCCAAGCAAGGCGGGAGTGCCACTAGCACACGCAAAGGCTTACAGAGAGTGAAAGTAAAAGTAAAAAGAGCTGTTTGAGGATAGGATAACGAGAAAGACGGGGATCAAGATCAAGGCATCAGAAGATGTCGATTGACATTACATTTGAAAATTTGAAGATTATAGCTATCAGGGAAGCAAGTAAGAGGAAGGGAATTCCGCTGTCAGGAAGTGTGAGAGAAAAAGCTGTTGTGGTAAAAGAGGCGTTTACATATAACTGCTCCGACAGTGAAAGGGTGGTTATTATGTTACTCGATTCATTATCTATCTATCTATCTATCTATCTATCTATCTATCTATCTATCTATCTAATTTTCTAAGCATTTCACCCCAAGCAAGGCGGTAGTGCTACTAGCACGCAAGGGGTTTTAAAGGGTGAAAGTATGAGTAAAAAAGAGTGTTTGAGGAAAGGATATAGAGAAGGACGGGGATCAGGATCAAGGCATCAAAAGATGTCGATTGACATTACATTTGAATATTTGAAGATTATAGCTATCAGGGAAGCAAGTAAGAAGAAGGGAGTTCAACTGTCGGGAAGTGCGAGAGAAGCTGTTGGAGTAGAAGAGGCGGTTACATTTAACTGTGTCAACAGTAAAAGGGTGGGATCGAGATGCCAACCTAGTAGCACGCTTAAATTCATGCAGTCGGGTCACCAATGAAGGTAGCTCTTTAGAGTAGTTGCCATGAAAATACTTGTAGAAAAGACAGAGAGAAGCCACATTACGTCTGTGGGAAAGTGACTGAAGACGAGATGCCAATTTAGAACCTATCACATTGCATATCCGTCTTCGGATTTTGTCGAGAACATCGCGATGAACAGCGGGGCACCAGACCATATATGACAACAGTATTCCATGCATGGACGAATGGTAGATTTGTGGATGTTAAGGATGGACTCAGACGAGAAAAACCTACTGGTGCGACACAAAGAACCAACTTTCCTTGCGTTAGATGTAGCTATTAATTCAATGTAGTTGTTCCACTTCAGGTCAGGGGAAATGTGAGACCAAGAAGGCGCAGAGAGACACTCTCATGAAGTTGAGCATCACCCATGCTGATAAGAGGTAGGGAGGTTTCTCTGTGGTTGGTAAATGAGAAAAGTTTCGTTTCGAAGGCATTAAAATTTACAATCCATTTCCTGCCCCATTTCCTACCTCAGTCAACCACAGACTTGAGGTCATTTTTGAGACCAACGGCCAGGTTAACTTTGTCAGTAATGCCGGATTTATTATTGAAACAGGAGTAAATAGTAGTCACGTCTGCGTAGATGCCTACTCGAGAACTTATGACACCAGGAAGATCATTGACGAAGATCAGAAACAGTGTAGGACCCAGGATAAAGCCACATATAAGGGGTGACGTTGTCGCAGAAATTGTCTGACAGCCATGACTGGGCTCTCCTGCTTGTGAAGCATGGTGCAGATTCCTGTTGTCAGACATAGAGTCTTCAAGCAGCCAACATCTTCGCACAGAGTAGCACTACATCCTCAAGGCACTTGATATAGGCCTCCGTATTGAGTCTGGGGACCTCACCAAAAAATTCGGGATTTCTTATCTTATCAGAACGATCTGCCGAATCTTTAGACTTGTCCAACTCTTTCTGAATCCTCTGCATTGTCCTCAGATTGACACCTAAACATTATGAAATGTTCGTATTGGAGCATTCGGTGCGAATACCAAGCATGTCGTTTCCAAATTTCTGTCGGAGTGAATTGCGTCATGGTGCTCGTTTTCTCACAGACGGTGCCCAACTGACCCTACTACACTGTGCAGTCGACAAAATTAAAAAAAAACAGCAACACGCATGCGCGAAAGTAAAAATATAAAATGGCAAACAGTTTCACCATCGAACCCTATATATATATATATATATATATATATATATATATATATATATATATATATATATGTGTGTGTGTGTGTGTGCCAGACATTGTATGTATGTGTGTGTGTTTGAGGGGTTAGAACGTGTCCCTTCAGACATTCGAATATCACCATGGTCAATTTGTTAAGGGGTTGACTTATAGATGATATCAGCCTGGGGATGCGATCTCAGCGTGCTGTAGGGAAACGAGTAGCCGGCCATTATATATATATATATATATATAATTTTGCTCTTATCGATTTGAAATGAGTCCGCTCGTATTTGTCTACTTAAAGTCATCGATATATGTCTTTCTGTGTATTGAAATCTACTGTTTACTTGCGTTCGCCTATCTTTATCTATGTTTCCCTGCTCAGTGCTTCTCGTATTTCAACGTTTATTTGTTGTTTTTTTTCTCTCTCTCTCTCTCTGTATGGTAACTGTGAATCATTCAACTGATTTCCCTTGAGCTTATCATTATGATCCGCCCTAATCTTGTATCGTAACCATTCGTGATCTTCCGTTTGTGCAGCAAGTTTCCCTTCATACTTTTTTCACATTTATGGAGAGAAAAAAATGCAAACACATAAAGGGGAAAAAATTATCCGAAGCGTGCAAACATAAACCGGTATCATGTTTGCGTTCATAACGTGTAGTACACAATTTGCTGTCGCAGCCATTTTTTTCTTTTACACTAAGACTGGCGTTATGATGTGACGAATTCAAATGATTTCCCCAAGGCCTTTGATTTGGTAAAGAGCCATACTGGAAATATGTACTGTCTAAAACCTCACCTCAACTACACTGCAACTAAAAATCACCTATTTCGGTTAGAAAAGCTCAATAAAAAAACGAAATAGATCACGGAAACATTAATTTTATCATTCAGAAACAACTTTTTATATAAAGTCTGTGATATTATTACCAAGTACAGTAGAATCACTCATATTCACTATCTCTCATATCCGAAATCCCTCATTTCCGGACTGCCTCGTATCCGGAATCCCGCATATCCGGACATGATTTTGATATGTTTGAACTATTTGGAAATCTTTGTTTTTCACCCTAATGGCTTGTATTGGTGCAAAAGATGATGGGAAAAAGAAAAGAACAACTTTTTGGTAACGCAAAATCTGGAAATTTTAAACAGACTAGACGCTGATAAAGGTTCATTGAAACTAATGGCTGAGTTCAACATAGGAAAGTCAACATTGTATGGTATAAAATCTTCCAAAGAAATTATTTTCCAGCGTTCACACTGTCACAGCAAACAAGGAAATAACAAACACGATTGTGATGAAACCTAGACTGAAATTGAAAAGATATTGAAAAGGTTATTAGTTTTATGGAAATCCGGCATTCAGCTATGACGATTACAATAACGCATGCAGATTTAAAAAGTGTCTTTCGTTTAAAAAATTTCAACAACAAAAGCAATACGGAATGCAGAAATCGTTGAGAATGAGATTAGTAGAGGAAAAAAAAAAGTCGTTACATTATTTGTTTTGCATACGTGGCAAACTTAATTTAATGAATTTTCATTAACATTACATAATTTATTTCTTTTTCCTTAAAATCAATTCTGTTATATTTCACTCACCATTAGCTTATTTTGTTTACTATAAAACATTGAAAATAAATGTTAGACCTGATTTCAATTCTTTTATTTTAATCTAAATATAACCCCTCATATCCTGACTTTGTAACCAATTCTTCATATCCAGAAGACCTTCTTAGTCCGGTTGCCAGGGATTCTACTATATATATATATATATATATATATATATATATATATATATATGTCTTACAACAAGCTTAAACAAGTGAGAAGTGATCCAACAAAAGATACAAATTGTGAGACCCAAATGCGAAGTTGCAGTCTTTGTTTTCTTTTTATGTGCCGTGTCCTTTCAGGATGTAGACGATCATGGCTCTCCACTTCTCCTATCCCTTGTAGCTCTCAATATGTTTTGTCCCTTTGCTACTTTCCCCAGGCCGTGTTCTGTCATCCACTTGCTTAAGCCCGCTAGGTATGTCACGCGTTGCTTTCTCTTGTCTCTGTTTCGACCTGTGAGTATCAGATTCTCCAAGCCTTACTTTCTCATTACGTGTCCCAGAAACTTCAGCTGCCTCTTCTTGTATAAGCTTCCTCCTTGTTTGCATCCTCTCCAAGACCTCATCGTTGCTCACACGCTCGGTCCATGATATCTTTAGCATCCATTCCTTCATCAAATGTCACGTAGCAGTTCAGTACTCTTTTCTTTGTTACCAAAGAAATCCTCCTATCTCGTAATACTCTGCCTAGTTGTTGGCCATTCCAATACGTCTACGGATCTCAGTCGCACTTACCGTCCTCTGTCAAAACGCTTCCCAGATATTTAAATTTCCTCACACCTGCTTGATTTTAGTGTCCCCGACCAGTAAATCGCATTTCGGGTTCAACCTTTTACTGATGACCATGCATTCGGTCTTGTACTTTATGCATAGACCCTTCTTTTCGCTCTCCTTCGCTAGTTTCTGTAGGAGGTTTTGTAATTTCTTTTCCGTGTATGATACCAGTAGTGGAATGACAAAAAATGTCTTCCATAAACTAAGCAAAGAATTAAGATAGGAAAATAGGACCAAAGATATGAGAGGTGAACTATCGATTTTCTTATATGACATTGGATGCTAAACAATTTTCTAATAGATGAAAGCAAGACGTGAAGCAAAAGAGATGAGATTCTAAAAAAAATGATTTGGGAATAACATGGACAGACATTAATCTTCCTAGATAGCATTGGATACCGGACAATTTCTTCACATGTGAAGTGAACTTGAGGTAAAGGATATGCGATTCTGTAGAATGATGTTGAGAATAATATGAATAGAATATCAGTCTTTCAATTGTTCAACACTCACTATCACGCACAGGATTAGATATCGTATAGCAGTTCAGTTTTGCTTAGATTATCAATGTCATGAGATTATCCAGCATTCACTGCCAAATAAAAGGTTAGATATTACATAGCAGTTCAGTATTTCTTTTCTTTCTTTCTAACGATATTTTCTTGCTCTGTCGACTGGGGCATCAGACTACACCGACTGCACCTCTGCAGAGGGGTAAGACCTCTTCCAATGGGGGTGTACTGTGTATGACGTTAAACTACATCAATGTCATGAGTATGATGATAAAATACCTAGGGCAGCAACGCCTTTGATCAGGAGTCTTTGAGAAGCGCGGTACCACCTCAATTGCTAGTGTTCCCAGGTCCACGATAATCTGGGGTGGTAGCATCTGTTAGGGTCCAAGCTATGGGAAAATGGTTAACCCCCAAACTTGGGTCAAAACATTTTAATACCAGCAATGCATTTATGGAAAAAAGGAAAATATTACCAGCAAGAAAAATCGTGTCATCATTAAATAACCCATTGAGGTGTTGATATGCCGTAAAACAAAACAACCAAA